GCAAAGGTAAAATGATTGGCTAGAATCCAAAGTGTATGACATCTCAGGAAAAAAAAAAGCACCGAAATAAAGCACCGAAATGTGCGCTGCTTTTCGGTCTGGTTACTACCATTTATATCAGAACCATAATGGCACCGGATACTGGTACCCATCCCTATTTTCCATTAGTGCTTAACCAGTTCTCCATCACGTAGATCAACACTTTGAGTTTCGTCTTGATGCATGCTCAATCATCCAGGTAAGTAAATCTCCGAAAGTTGCTTTGGTTCATCTGGATGTAGCGTTTTCAGAAAACAAAAGTTGAACAGAACCAACTTTGAGACTTTGAGTTTCATTCCAATCTTGTTGTCAATGCCGGTGGCCGTCAGGCAGAGTGGACTAAAAGGGCAGATACAACACACAAGTACTCGAAGTGTGACGTTAATTAATTTGCGAGAGAACACAGACACTGATGAGATGGGAGTGAGTGAGGGGGCTATATACAACAGTGTGGCAATACTATTTATAGATGTAGAAACTAAACTAAAACTAAAACTAAACGAAAGTCGCGGTGCTTTCGATTGTACTCAGAACTCTGAAATTCTGCCTTCTGAATAGGAAAATGTAGGTAACACCAGACTGCAGATGAGCTGCATACAGGGCTGGACTGGGACAAAAAATTGGCCCGGGCATTTTGACTAGAGACCGGCCCACCATTATAGGAAAAATCATAAAGACTCACAACAAACGCTGTTGTGACAGTGATGTTCACTGTCTTGATGGTATATATGTATCAATCTATCAGTCGTTTGTTGTAAGATTCAGATAATTATTTTTTAAAAGCTAGACATTTTAAATGAGAATAAGAAAGAAAAGTATTTCTTTGTGCCCCCCTTTCCCTGTTAATGCCCTACCTGGCCCTCCTGGAAAAACTTTGCTATATCCGCACCTGCACAGTTACCAGCTGTCAGCTACATAAAAAAGGATCCTGGTGTTATTTGTCTCTCAGAAACAGTTCATAACTTCCCTTCAACTCATTCATGTAACCTAAAAGGTAAACCTGTTTCTCCATCACCTGTTCAGCTCTGATGATCCAGTAAGGACATCTCCTGGTTTCATCTTCATGTTTCCCTCTCACCAGATAACCAAACCATATCATGACCAGCAGCTTTTTTGCAGCTGTGGCTCCTAATATTAAATAAATTCTAACAACAGCTGATCAAGCTTAAACGTGCTGCTGTTGTTTAACGCGACATCGGCCGGTCTCTTTCTGGCGCAAAGTGGGCGATAAACAAACAAGAGAGCCGATCAGCTGATCATTGATCAGTTTCATGATTGAAGTAGAAACAGGAGAGGGAGGGGAGAGGATGAAAGGAGAAGAGGCAGCTGTGCAGCAAAGACACAGAGTAACTCCAGCTTTGTGTCTTTTTCATTGTAGCTGAATTACGGGACAAACTGTTCCTTTTCACCTCAATAAGAAACGCGTAATATTTTCTCTGAATACCAGACAGGAAGGTTGGCAACTCTAATAACTTATGAACAAAATAAAGTTTAACATCGTTAACATCATAGCACCACCCAGCTGTATAGAAACTCCGTCATGCTAGCTAGCACGCAGTACGGAAAAAGTCAGAATAACGAAAATAAACTCCACCTAAACTTGGTTCATATCTGACCCAGAGAGACTGCAGGTCATAACTTCTTACCTGAAGTTCAGTTCACACTTGGACCGGCGGCCGCCTCGGGTCGCTTTTCCTTCTGCGTCCCCTTTCCCTCCTCCACCTGCTGGCCTCCACCACTTGCTAATGTTATTGAATCTGTGGAAGCTCCACACGCACCACACGAAGTAACGAGTAACGATCCTATCTAAATCCCAGTAACGACTAACGCGTTCCTGATTTTGGAATAATAACTAGTTACCGTGCTCGTTACCACAATAATAACGTAGTTACTGTAACGCGTTACTTAATAACGCGTTAGTCCCAACACTGATTAGCACAGGTTACATGAACTTGAGTGGCAGGGACATGATTGTGCGACATGGTTCCAGGAAGTAATTCTTGGGACTGACAGGATTAGGTGAATTATGAGCCAGAGGTCAGAATTTCTGTTACCTCGGACAGCAGAAACCCAAGAAAAAGGAGGAAGAGGAGGAACCATCATGGAAGGACAAGCCCCTTCGTGGTATATACCACTGGCAGATTGAGGAAGTGGTTGACATTCATTTTACATGTATATAATTAACTCACAGTTGCCTGCTAGAGAAACCTTTACTCTGTTCTTGGTCACAAAGACAATGAAAAAATATATACATTCACCAAGTGGAAACTCAAGATGACTGTAAAATAATCACAAAACTGCTAAATTAAGCATTTAAAGGAAGCCATTACCACTACCAAAAGACAAAATTTGTTTGCGTCACAACGAAATACTAAATGAAGAATTGGAAAAAGCACTGTAATTAAAGAATTGTTTGGTACAACGACCCCTTGCTCATTGACCTCTCTCATTTGTCCCATATTAGAGAGACATTACAGTTGTCCTAACTATAGCAAGGCTAAGTACGTTTAAATTGGCCTATCAAGAAGATGGTATGACTTCATACTGTAAGCATAATAAATATTTAAATAAACATTTCCATTTCCCCAACCTCTTACTGTGATATGATATTAATTTTGTGTTTTTGCAGATTGTGTGTGTGTGTCTTTCCAATGAAGGCCTCACTCTTATGAGTAAATTGTGATTCATGAGTGCATTATAATTTATCAGTAAATGATAATTTATGAGTAAATTACTGGTCATGGCAAATGGCCGCCCCTCCCTGAGCCTGGTTCAGCTAGAGGTTTCTTGCTGTTAAAAGGGAGGGACGTGAAGAGGGAAGTCTCACTGAGAATATCGAGGATGTAGAGATTGTGAAATGAGAAAAGGCAGACAGTGTCTCTAAGTGTAGTTTGCTCTGACTGGTGGAGGAGCGCGTTTGGAATAGACTGGTTGGACTTTGGGCAGAGCTCATTTACTTGAACATCCAGCAGTAGGAACGTGAACGAAGATTAATTGAATTTAACACCATTATCCTAATGGCCACGGTTTTAGTGCCTCGGAAACATTTTCTGTGGGTTCTGTTGTGTGCATGTGCCTTTCCTGCAGGCAACAATGGTAAGAAAGCTTTGAGTTATTTAATGTTAAATTAACACAGGCACTTTTAGTAAACAATTGATGGATATGTTAGAGATGAAATCAGACTATTTTATAATTTTGTCAATCTACATAATATTATAGTTTTTTCTAAAACAAATTTAATTTTGACAGTTATCAAGCAGAAATAATAGTTTCACGGTTCAAGTTTTATTGTCATATACAGATAAACAGTGTAGCCACATTTACTCATAATTAAATTCATTGGCTCGTGTTCCTCAGCTTTACATGAGCCTATAGAAAGTGTGCAGTTATATTTAAGAAGAAAATAGCAAAAAAAAATAACAATAATTATAAAGAAAAAACAAACAAACATTCCTGGTAAGTGAGTTTTCTGTTTCTAGTTGTGATGGACTTACTTTTTACTGCATGTGTTAACCATTAAAAAAAGAACACAAACAATTTGTTTTGATCTGCCAGTCTCTCATTTTGTTCTCCCAATTCTCTCTATTTTCACTAATTGTTAAATATGCAACATTAAAATCTTGTTCAACAAGTTCAAAACAGAATATTTGGCATGTTTCTTTTTTACTGATTCAGAGCTTCAACTAATCTATTTGTCATGTAACCTGTGAAAAAATTTTTAAAGATCAACTATCATAGTTTTTATAAACAATTTTCTAAATTAAGACTATTGAATAATATAAAAAGAGGCAAAAAGAAGTATTTACACACTAACCATGTGTATCTTTCCTGCAGGCAATAATTATAAGAAAGCTTTAACTCATCATATGTTAAACTTAGAGCGCACTTAACAACCTCTTTATAAGTTGTAGAATGAAAGTCCTTCATTTGTGACCAGTTGTTAAATTTGCAATGTTTAAACATTTCCTGCCATGATGCCAGGTCTCTCTTGGAAATTCGATTTTTACCTGGAAAAATAAATAATAATACAAAAATAAAATAATAATAAATATTAAGATATTTACACCTGAAATCAGCCAGTAAATTATCTGTATTTCATTTCACTTCTTAAATCACTAGATTCATAATAACATTCTTACCTTCTGTTAACAGAGCTTTTATCCAATAATCTGAATGATGTAGCTTTAATTTCCATATTAAAGCTACATAGTTGACATATGTGACACATTTTTTTCTTTAAATCTCTCTCTTCCTTTTAGGCACTTCAAACAATACTAGAGGACCGGACGGAGCATCTGGAGCAGGTTTAACATATCATGAGACCATAGTTAATAAATCCAATGAAACATTTTTAAAAGATGGACTTTCAGAACAGGCACTGAAGTTTCTAACTGGCCCTGTGTCCACCATCCTTTTACCTTCCTTCTACACGCTGGTCTGCTCCATCAGTGTGCCAATTAACATCTGTGCTCTGCTGGCCTTTGCTCGGGGGATCCGTCCTAAGAAGCCAGCTGCAATCTATATGCTGAACCTGGCCTTAGCCGATCTGCTCTTTGCACTGATGCTCCCCTTCAAGATCTCCTACCACTTTGAAGGCAACAACTGGAAATTTGGCCCGTCCATGTGCCGCGTGGTCACTGCTGCCTTCTACTGGAATATGTATTGTTCTGTTCTTCTCATAGCTTGCATCAGTGTGGACCGTCTGCTTGCTGTAGTTTATCCAATCGATGCTCTGTCTTGGAGGAGCTCACGGACCACAGTCATAGCCTGCATAACCATGTGGGTGTTATCTTTCGCTGGCTCTGTGCCTCTTGTTTCTTCTGACCAGACTTTTAACATCAGTGAGTTGAACATCACCACCTGCCATGATGTCCACTCCACAGATAAGATCACCTGGTTAAAGACATACTTCCTCACCCTCTGCTGCATTTTTTTCTTCCTGCCTCTGCTCATCACAGTGGTGTCCTACGCTCAGATAATCTGGTCATTGAGCAGAGTCCAACATGATGTTCCAGGAACATCACATAGGAGAAGAAGAGCAATGGTGATGACATTGACTGTGCTGGTGATATTTTTGCTGTGTTTCATGCCTACAAACTGTCTGCTGCTTGCACACTACCTGCAATTAAAAGAAGAACCCAAGAAGAGCCAGGAGGCACCCGATGGCTCTTACACACTCTATCTGGTGTTTCTGTGTTTGGGAAGTCTGAACTGCCTCCTGGATCCCCTGCTTTACTACTTTGGATCCTCGCAGTGCCAGAAACAACTATCCAATATGCTGAAGTGTAACAAGGTGACAAAGAGCAGAGATATCACTCATTCAACAACTGATTCCTGGAGATTAAGCGCAAGAACAATGCTGAAACCCAGAAACCTGCAAAATACCAAACACTCTGAATTAAACACATCAGTGGACTCTTTCCATCTTCAACAACCGAAACAAGAAACTACTAGTCTGACTAACTCTCACACTGTGCTGACATTTTAATTAACTCTTATGTCTAATTTTAAAGTTTATTTAAAGTTAAAGTTCATTGTAAAATTATTTTTTCTATTCTTTAATGATTTTCTTTCTGAATGCATGTTTATTGATTAAACTGTTATTGAACTCGAAGTACTGAGATGGAGTGAAATATCTGCCCTCATAGTTTGTTTTATGCTTCCACCTGCTGGTGCAAACTACATTAATTATTGTATATTTAATTCAAGCTTCTTTATTTGATGAATTGATTTATTTGGAATAACACAATGTATTAATATGAGCATCAAAATAATGCTAACAGATATGTCAATATGTAAAAGTATAGTATCATAAGTGAGGTTGCCTATTTGTGTAAGCTCTTAATTTTACAGAGAAGCTGTTACGTCTGTGCTGGGCTGCAAGTAATGAGTATTTATAATGGATATTTAGTGTTTTCTGTGAGAAAGAGCAGCAAATAGAGTTATCTTCTCTTGCTTGTACAACCATCAAACCACACCCTTATACTGAAACCTAGACGTTGGGATACCATCAAATGATATATGACATTTCTAGACACCCAAAAAGTCTTAAAAAATAAATAACTAACATTTATCCTTCTTACATTTGCATGAAAACCTCAAAAGCTTTGACGAGTTACAGCATAGTTATTCAAGCTCAACAGCTACTGGCAGTATGGGGCATAACAATCACAGCAAATATGTAATAAAAGCCTCGATGTAGATAAAAAAAGAAAATATCAGTTAAAGTGTGTCATATCTAAATGGCTTGCTTGGTGTTTTCCTATTAAATGCATGGTTGTATTTAAACCTGTGAGTTATTCTCTTGCAAGAAAATAAACAGATGTTCCCTTTTGACTCGTTGTGACTCCATGTTTTCTCTAGTATACAGGCGTCTTTATTTTGGCTCTTTATCCCATCGGAACTGCCACTTCTTTTTCATTTTTGATGTGAGGATTTTACTTCCACATTACTACCATGAAAACATGAAAAACTATTGTTATACATGAATTTAAAGCAAAAATCAAAATCATGCCTTATGTCGAATAAATGAATAATGGCAATGATTAATGGTGAGTAATGATGAACATAAAATTTTTCAAATTAGACTGACATTATCCAAATGAATGTGAAAAATGTATTTTATATTCCTGACTATAATTTACTAATAAAACGTATTTTCCACGCACAAAACATGTGAATGTGATAAGCCAGCAATTTCATTAACTGCAATGTATGCTCATAATAGAGGTCTTCTTGCCCATTCACAGACGCAGGCACAGGGCCCCGGTGTTCGCTGACATGAATCTTTCTGTTTGACGTAGGAAAGCTTTTTCCAAAGAAGGCAAAGAAGCCTCAACTGACTCTCTTCACATAAACTGTTGCCTGGAAGAAAAAGAAGAATACACGACTTTTTTTTTGTCAGTCATCAAGTCACTTGGCTCAATTGCAGCAATACTATTAATAATTGTAACTTCAACATACATGATCATACAAACATTTGTATTTGAAAATAAATGAACATTTTAATTATCACACAGCCCATGAGCCAGGGCCAGAAAAAAGTGAGTGGTGGTTGGCTCTTCAAAGGCCCTGATGTGTTTTTCATTCACAAATCACCTGATTTTTCCCAAGCTCAAAAATCAGGATAGCTTGTTTGGTACCATGCCTGCACAAGTATGTTAATTAGGCTCCTGTCATCATAATCTGGCAATACAAACACCAGTTACAAACGCTTTATGTTAGAGGTAAATTAACTAAACCAGTCACAGCAGATGGCTGCCGCTCCCTGAGCCTGGTTTCTTCCTGGTAAAAGTGAAGGAAAATCAGAGGATACCAAGCTATTCAAATTCATAAAATACAGGCGCATAAATATGGCTGCAGTTGCTGTTTAAGTGTCGGTTAAAATGCTCGATCTGAGTTGTGCACAGAACTTCCTATTAAGACCGAGCCTTCACCCCTGCTTGCTCACACGTTCTTCCATATCTGAGGGTTCTCTCCTCTATGATCAGTCCTGATGTGCAGGGGTCTGCCAAATCTTCCAACAATTGCAGTAAATGGTTTCAGCTCGATTATTGTTGGAGCACTGAAGAAACATACTATAGCCATGCACCGTGAACAGCAAACTCACTATTGCAGTTTTTCTGTAGATAGAACACCCTCCACAGTGACTCTCTTACATGCTGTCTTTGAACCACTATGTTTTTAGAACACAGACGTCGCCTCAGCATCACTTCTCTATCATTTGGATTTTCAGTTTTTATCTTGAACACTATCTGATCCAAATTATTGTCATTCATTATATTGAATTTTGACACAGATATTATAGTCTTGCAGTAACTCTTAGAAAGTTGGAAAGGATAGACATGTCACAACTGAGAGGTCAGACCAGGTGCAAGGACTTAAAGAGCAGACAGTGTTGCCAACTCCTCAGTAAGGAAAATCGCTATTGGTTGTCCTAAAAGTCGCTAGAAGTCGCTAAATGATGTCATTGCCTAATTTGCATAATTGGTCATGCTAATCTAATTGTAACCTATGTTGTTGGAGAGAGAAATAACATCGTGGAAGAGACATAAAGTGAGTAAAAAACGTCCTAAATTTCTAACCAATACAGAAATTATCTATTAGATTACATTAGTCTTGACACAGCCTCTGCCACCACATCAGATCAATTGCTCTGGGCTCCTTTTATCAGCTCCATCACCTAGTGGGGGTGGGGGGTCATAGTTTGGTCCCGCCTTCACTGTTGTGATTGGTGTGGGGGTAGGGACAGGCTTAGGGCGTCGGGGGGTTCCCCGG